GTGGGCTAGAACCCACTTCATCAGATGTATAGATAACAAACTGTCACTTTCTCAAACTCCCTCTCCTCAGCTCAGCCAGTCTTAAAGGGACGGTGTGATAAAGGGAATTCAAAAGGCTCTGTTCCTTCAGAAAATGTTCAGCCCACAAGTGAGGGGTTTCAAAATCCATCCCTAGTAGTTAATGCTCCATCCTAAATGACATAGCTTTTCAGCAGTGACATGTGCATTGATCTGCATTACAAAAATCAGAGAAATAGCACTTCTTTTCAGCAGCAGATAATTACTAGCAAACACCAGGTTCCCTCCTGCTGATAACCACGGGGTGCAGGGGATGGGAATGGGCATTATGTGGACAGGACATGGCTATTTTACACATTCAGCCAGATAAATAATATTGATCAGGAATTGTGTGGAGCAATAGAGACACCCCCCCCTTTGTCGGTTTGATTAGCCATGGGGGTACATTCTCTACATTTACAGGATTTAACCCAAATCATGTCTCCTACACAAAGGTGCTAGTTAGGCTGTGAATAAGAGTTATCTGGGAGCTGATTGTTTCTTTGGCCTTTACCATAGAAGTTTTCACTCAGGTTTTGACAGCATTTGTGAAAGAACTGGAGGAATCAGTCAAGAAGCATTCATAACAAGATTTTCATAACAAAATCTCCCACCTATGACACGGACCTCTCCTCCCCTTCGCCCTCACAAACACATGTTTTGAGGTTCTAGTGAGATACAGAGATGCTGAGCGCTATTCCCCAGGGAGAACATTGGATACACATGTGATTGCTGAAGAGTGAGAGTGAACGATGGGCTGGGCAGTGTGCAATGGGATAGGGACAGGTTGCGGCTTATGATGTCCTAAGGTATGATTATGCTGCAGCTGGTGGCATGCAGCCTAGCCCACACAGAAAGACTCACACTAGCTTGGCTCAAGCTCGCATGCTAAAAATAGCTGTGTGGACAATATGACTCTGGTGGAGACTCAGGCTAATCAACTGAACTCAGAGCCAAGGGGTCGGGTGGCCTTGAGAGCCTGAGCTGCCACCCAAGCTGCAACATCTACACGGCTATTTTTAGCATGATAGCTTGAGCTGAGCTAGTGCAAGTCCCCTTCTCTCCAGACTGGGAGGCTCACTCCCAGCTGCAGTAGACATACCCTTAGACACATGCGAGTTGTGTGTGGTCCTGGCAGGGGGCAATGGTCACTGACCAGCCCTTGATCAACTGTTGGGCCTTCCATTTCAGTACATTTGTACTGATAAAGGGAATCCCCATTGACTCGGGATATGTGGCTGTGGGAATGAAGCAGGCTTCCTGGGGATAGTGTGAGAGACTTGCTGTGTGGGATACAGGCAGGTGGGGTTCCTGAGCATGCCCAGGAACAAGTGGCAATGCTGCACCCACTTGCCCTGAGGTGGATGGGAGAGAGGAGGCAGCAGAGGCAGAGGGATGAAGGACATTGAGGGCACTACTGGGAGTCAGTCAGAAAGGCAGCTACATGTACCTGCATTTTGACAAATAGGGAGGAACTGGTGGAGAATTTGAAAGTGGAAGGCAGCTTGGGTGAAAGTGATCATGAAATGGTAGAGTTCATGATTTCAAGGAATGGCTGGAGGGAAAACTGCACAATAAAGACAATGGATTTCAAGAAGGCAGACTTTAGCAAACTCAGGGAGTTGGTAGGTAAGATCCCATGGGAAGCAAGTCTAAGGGGGAAAACAATAGAAGACAGTTGGCAGTTTTTCAAAGAAACATTATTAAGGGCACAAGAGCAAACTATCCCACTGCATAGGAAAAATAGGAAGTATGGCAAGAGGCCACCTTGGCTTAACCAGGAGATCTTCAATGATCTGAAACTCAAAAAAGAGTCCTACAAAAAGTGGAAACTAGGTCAAATTACAAAGGATGAATATAAACAAATAGCACAAGTATGTAGGGACAAAATCAGAAAAGCCAAGGCATAAAATGAGATTAAACTAGCTAGAGACATAAAGGGTAACAAGAAAACATTCTATAAATACATTAGAACCAAGAGGAAGACCAAGGACAGGATTGACCTGTTACTCAATGAGGGGTGAAAAAAATAACAGAAAAAGTAGAAATGGCAGAAATGTTAAATGACTTTTTTGTTTCAGTTTTCACCAAAATGATTAGTAGCGATTGTATGTCTACTATAGTAAATGCCAATGAAAATGAGGTAAGATCAGAGGCTAAAATAGGGAAAGAACAAGTTCAACATTACTTAGACAAGTTGGATGTCTTCAAGTCACTAGGGTCTGATGAAATACATCCTAGAATACTCAAGGAGCTGACTAAGGAGGTATCTGAGCCATTAGCGACTATCTTTGAAAAGTCATGGAAGACAGGTTTGTTTACTCTGGAGAAGAGAAGACTGACAGGGGACATGATTACAGTTTTCAAATACATAAAACATTGTTACAAGGAGGAGGGAGAAAAAATATTCTCCTTAATGTCTGAGGATAGTACAAGAGGTACTACTTAAATTGCAGTAAGGGCAGTTTAGGTTGGACATTAGGAAAAACTTCCTAACTGTCAGGGTGGTTAAGCACTGGAATAAATTGAGAGATTGTGAAATCTCCATCATTGGACACCTGTCAGGGATGATCTAGATCAGTGATTCTCAAACTAGGGCCGCCGCTTGTTCAGGGAAAGCCCCTGGCGGGCATGGGCTCAGGGACATGCTGGCTGCCCTTCCTGCAGCCCCCATTGGCCTGGAGCGGCGAACCGCGGCCAGTGGGAGCCGCAATCGGGCAAACCTGCAGACGTGGCAGGTAAACAAACAGGCCTCACCCGCCAGGGGGCCGAAGGTTGCCAATCCCTGAACTAGAGTAAAAACACAAACATACACAGACACACATATACATATTACATTACATATGTGTGCATATCTCTATAATTTTCTTCTGAAACATCTTGTCTTTTCACTAACTTTTCCAAGTAATGGAATTTGCTTTCCCGGCAAAGAAAATTGAGAAGTGTTTTCATAAATTTCCCTCCTGTATTTGCATTGTCCCTACATATATATGCCCACATACAGAGGGGCCAAATATATGATATAAACAGAGCAAGTGCCAACTGAGACAAATTCAGTACAGCTTGGCTCACTCCAAAGGGAAAGCACTCATTTTGCTGATGAACTGCATTTGCCACCTACAGAAAACAAGAGTAATTGGGTTGAATCTAATTGGTGGCTGTAGTATCATGAATAGAATAGACAGCAAGAAGTACAACCACCAGATGGAAGCCTGCTAGCCAGTTAAGTCTGCTCTATTATCAGTCTAGCTATTGCCTGGCAGGAAGCAACCCAGCAGTGGGGTCTTACTGGTGAGCAGTAACTGTGTGGCTGTGGGTTTCCTCTATGTGGATTTAGGAGAAAGGCATTAAGGAGGAAGGTTACCAAAAAATAAAGCTTCTTCAGTCTAATTAGTAGATATACCTGTAGCGCTGCCATTTCTTCCTCTCTCCTGTGAGTCTTCTCCAGCAGATCTGCAAGAAAGACACAAAACACAAAGCAATGAGAACTGAGTTATTTGTTATTAAGCTCAACTTGAAGTGTTAGTGCCTGATAAAGAAAACCTGTGATAAAGATGTCAAGTTTTTGTATGAAATGTCATAAAAATGTGCCCTGTGAAACTGAAAATGTGTCAATGATAAGAATGCTGCCAAGCATGGGCTGCTGAGGTGATTAAAAACTAGCTATAAGAAGCCAAGTTGACCCAGAAAGCCACTGAATGGGGTAGAGTTCAATTCAGACAAAAAGATGTATTTACCTCTAATTTTTCTTTATTTTAACACTTGTATCAGAAATGACCAAAGAGATCTTTTCTGAAAACGGATTAAAAATAGGAAGATCAAAGACATTCAATTACATGTCATCGTTCACTCTGGAGTAAATTTTTATTACCAAGTTACAACCCCTTGAAGAAAAGGGCGTTTATTAATAGAAGTGCAGTCTTAATCACAGTCACAATAATTATCACCTTTCACCAGGAGAGAGTGAAAAAAACGTTTGATCATGGAAATGGCAAGCTCCCTGAAAGATCAGTGCCTGACCGGAAAAGCACTCACTAGAGGAGAACTCACTCTCTTGCAGTCTATGCTCCATGACACCTTACATTTTGATATTCACATATGTAACAACCTCCAAATATGCAGTTCATGTTGCTGTGCACTTGCCTATTTCAGCTCCACATAGGATTTGTCACATGAGTTGCACTACTCTTGGTTTCACTCACATACTTTGGGAATACAATTGAACTCAGGATATAGTGTGTGATGTTCACAGTTCTATCTGGGAAACCTTGACAGGTGACCTCACAAAGTCCCTAAGAAAAACAGAAATGACTGTTCTGAACACATTTTTCTTTCTAACTACTGTAACTGACAAAAAACTCAGTTCAGTGTCTGGCATCAAACAGAGAGTATCTCAACAAAGTCAGAGACGGCTTTGAACCAAGATGTGCTCCAATATGCGGGGGTGAGGAAAGATGTTGGTTTGAGAGAACTTTAACTGCCACAATAGCCTTGTGGGAAAGTACAACTGGAGTCTCGAGATGCACAACTCCTCCCTGATACCGCTCAGGTAAGGAGCAGTGGATTGTCTGATGTCCAACAGCACCTATGCAGACTTAGTGGGAGAAAGAGTCCATTCATACAATGGCACATAGTTCAGTGAGCAACAAGGAACCAAAAGCATCCATAGTGAGAGCTATTTTAATTATTCTTCCTGTATGCAAAAGACCTTTCCTTCTTTCCTTGGTACTCTTATTTTTCTTACTCAGTCCACAGTATTTAGTGTTACACATAGTAAAAGTTTCTCAATTTCCCCCTTTGCCACTATTGCTTGATAGTTACAATGAATCACACTCCAGGAGAGAATAAGTATAACAGTAATTTGTCCTCGTTATATACTACTATTACACTGAACACAAAGGGACATGGAAAAAGCCTTTTTGGAACAGACAACTTTTTGGTGGGCATCACTCACCTCTAACCCAAAACCATGATTACCCCCTTGGGATAGAAATAGATTCAGCAGAAGAAGGGACAGAGAGTAGTATTCCAGACCAATCAAAGAACAATCAAACCACTGCATGACTCTGGGAAAACACCCAGAGGGTGTTTAGGGAAAGGGTCACACTAGAGGAGAGGGAGAGGAATTTCTGGGATTGATGGGGTGCTTCAGACAGTTCAAATGGGGTTTCTGATAGAGCTGTCAGAAAAAAAACCCCAAAGACAAGTTTATCATATCCCTGAAATTAAAGTCCTGACACCAGCACCTGAGAGGGACTCAAGTCATCTCTCCTTTGTTATTGATTGGAGCCCATAGACAGTTGCTCTCCAAAATCAAAAAAGGGATGAGGAAATCAGACAGGACTAACATCATTCAGAAAATACACAAGAAGGCAAGAATCATAGAATCATAGAATATCAGGGTTGGAAGGGACCTCAAGAGGTCATCTAGTCCAACCCCCTGCTCAAAGCAGGACCAATTCCCAACTAAATCATCCCAGCCAGGGCTTTGTCAAGCCGGGCCTTAAAAACCTCCAAGGAAGGAGACTCCACCACCTCCCTAGGTAACGCATTCCAGTGCTTCACCACCCTCCTAGTGAAATAGTGTTTCCTAATATCCAACCTGGACCTCCCCCACTGCAACTTGAGACCATTGCTCCTTGTTCTGTCATCTGCCACCACTGAGAACAGCCAAGCTCCATCCTCTTTGGAACCCCCCTTCAGGTAGTTGAAGGCTGCTATCAAATCCCCCCTCATTCTTCTCTTCTGGAGACTAAACAATCCCAGTTCCCTCAGCCTCTCCTCATAAGTCATGTGCTCCAGACCCCTAATCATTTTTGTTGCCCTCCGCTGGACTCTTTCCAATTTTTCCACATCCTTCTTGTAGTGTGGGGCCCAAAACTGGACACAGTATTCCAGATGAGGCCTCACCAATGTCGAATAAAGGGGAACGATCACGTTCCTCGATCTGCTGGCAATGCCCCTACTTATACAGCCCAAAATGCCGTTAGCCTTCTTGGCAACAAAAGCACACTGTTGACTCATATCCAGCTTCTCGTCCACTGTGACCCCTAGGTCCTTTTCTGCAGAACTGCTACCTAGCCATTCGGTCCCTAGTCTGTAGCAGTGCATTGGATTCTTCCGTCCTAAGTGCAGGACTCTGCACTTATCCTTGTTGAACCTCATCAGGTTTTTTTTGGCCCAATCCTCTAATTTGTCTAGGTCCCTCTGTATCCGATCCCTACCCTCTAGTGTATCTACCATGCCTCCTAGTTTAGTGTCATCTGCAAACTTGCTGAGAGTGCAGTCCACACCATCCTCCAGATCATTAATAAAGATATTAAACAAAACCGGCCCCAGGACCGACCCTTGGGGCACTCCGCTTGAAACCGGCTGCCAACTAGACATCGAGCCATTGATCACTACCCGTTGAGCCCGACGATCTAGCCAGCTTTCTATCCACCTTACAGTCCATTCATCCAGCCCATACTTCTTTAACTTGGCGGCAAGAATACTGTGGGAGACCGTATCAAAAGCTTTGCTAAAGTCAAGGAATAACACATCCACTGCTTTCCCCTCATCCACAGAGCCAGTTATCTCATCATAGAAGGCAATTAGGTTAGTCAGGCACGACTTCCCCTTGGTGAATCCATGCTGACTGTTCCTGATCACTTTCCTCTCCTCTAAGTGTTTCATAATTGATTCCTTGAGGACCTGTTCCATGATTTTTCCAGGCACTGAGGTGAGGCTGACTGGCCTGTAGTTCCCCGGATCCTCCTCCTTCCCTTTTTTAAAGATGGGCACTACATTAGCCTTTTTCCAGTCATCTGGGACCTCCACCGATCGCCATGAGTTTTCAAAAATAATGGCTAATGGCTCTGCAATCTCATCCGCCAACTCCTTTAGCACCCTCGGATGCAGCGCATCCGGCCCCATGGACTTGTGCACATCCAGTTTTTCTAAATAGTCCCGAACCACTTCTTTCTCCACATAGGGCTGGTCACCTTCTCCCCATATTGTGCTGCCCAGTGCAGCAGTCTGGGAGCTGACCTTGTTCGTGAAGACAGAGGCTTAAAAAGCATTGAGTACATTAGCTTTTTCCACATCCTCGGTCACTAGGTTGCCTCCCTCATTCAGTAAGGGGCCCACACTTTCCTTGACTTTCTTCTTGTTGCTAACATACCTGAAGAAACCCTTCTTGTTACTCTTAACATCTCTTGCTAGCTGCAACTCCAAGTGTGATTTGGCCTTCCTGATTTCATTCCTGCATGCCTGAGCAATAGTTTTATACTCCTCCCTGGTCATTTGTCCAATCTTCCACTTCTTGTAAGCTTCTTTTTTGCGTTTAAGATCTGCAAGGATTTCACTGTTTAGCCAAGCTGGTCGCCTGCCATATTTACTATTCTTTCTACACATTGGGATGGTTTGTTCCTGCAACCGCAATAAGGATTCTTTAAAATACAGCCAGCTCTCCTGGACCCCTTTGCCCTTCATGTTATTCTCCCAGGGGATCCTGCCCATCTGTTCCCTGAGGGAGTCAAAGTCTGCTTTTCTGAAGTCCAGGGTCCGTATTCTGCTGCTCTCCTTTCTTCCTTGTGTCAGGATCCTGAACTCGACCATCTCATGGTCACTGCCTCCCAGATTCCCATCCACTTTTGCTTCCCCTACTAATTCTTCCCTGTTTGTGAGCAGCAGGTCAAGAAAAGCTCTGCCCCTAGTTGGTTCCTCCAGCACTTGCACCAGGAAATTGTCCCCTACACTTTCCAAAAACTTCCTGGATTGTCTGTGCACCGCTGTATTGCTCTCCCAGCAGATATCAGGGTGATTAAAGTCTCCCATGAGAACCAGGGCCTGCGATCTAGCAACTTCTGCTAGTTGCCAGAAGAAAGCCTCATCCACCTCATCCCCCGGTCTGGTGGTCTATAGCAGACTCCAACCACGACATCACCCTTGCTGCTCACACTTCTCAACTTTATCCAGAGACTCTCAGGTTTTTCTGCAGTTTCATACCGGAGCTCTGAGCAGTCATACTCCTCTCTTACATACAACGCAACTCCCCCACCTTTTCTGCCCTGCCTGTCCTTCCTGAACAGTTTATATCCATCCATGACAGTACTCCAGTCATGTGAGTTATCCCACCAAGTCTCTGTTATTCCAATCGCATCATAGTTCCCTGACTGTGCCAGGACTTCCAGTTCTCCCTGCTTGTTTCAGATGGAATCTCTAAAACCCATAATAGCAAGTCTCTCTCAACATACCCATATTGGAGCGTCACTAGTAGTACAACATATACTTCTACTATTACAAGGGACTCTTCCAGCCAAAAGCCTTCTCTTTTGTCCCCTTGACAGTTTTGAGGGAGTTTACCAAAATACCAATGGTTTTAGTAGCAGTCCTTCTACTCATTCCTATACAACCTGCGAATCCAAGCTTTCTTAAGAAAAAGGTCATTACAGAAACAAACACCCAAATCA